TAGTTCCCACACTAGGACAAATGCAAATTATATTTTTCATAGAAGCTATCTGTGTTTTGAAATAATATATAAGTGGAAGACAGACTTTTAAAGGAGTTTATAAACTATGTGACAGAGCACCCTTAGTCATTTTCCTTCTTTGAGCTTCAGGGTCATTGTTAGTCTCATATCACAGATGTGTGTTTGCTGACAGCCACCTGAGACTGAATCTCTATGAGCATGGGACAGATAAGGGACACAGGAATGGAAGGACCCAGAAGAGTGATGGTGGAAGGTGCTTGGAAGGGGGCAGGGGTTCTCCAAGCTAAGAGTGGAGAGAATGCAAAGCTGTAGATCAAGTAGGGACATGGAGTGTTGAGGAGTCATTTCTAGGTCTTATCTGAGTTAAGAGCACTTCTGGGCTTGAATCCCAGCCAGAACTTCCACAGACTTCCCCTAAAATATTCAGAACCTAGACCTCACCCTTGGCATCTCTGAGTTCTGAGTTTGTCTCCATCTCTGTCCATGCCCATAGGAGGGCCTGCTGGTCTGTATAGTGGACAGGCCAGTACACAGCCTGCCTCCCCTGGCACCCCTTTTACTGATGAAGGAGGCCCTAGTGTGTCTCTTAAGCATGTTGTGCATGTTCCATCCCATGTCATCCTGGGTCCCCCCTCCACCCACAGTATAGCTGACTGGACAGGAATGCATACTTCTGCATGGGGCAATCAATCTCTAGTCTGGCCACTGATCTACAAGGTAACCCAGAATGCAAAGTCTCAGCCCCTCAGGAATTGGAATTTTGGGGAGTTTGAGTTTTTGACAGATATGGGGACGGGGATAAAAATAGAGATGGTAGAGTCAGAGATAGCAGTGGAACGTTCCTAAGAGGTACATGAGTTGGGAAGATGCCTGTACTCCAAGGAGACAGAAAGGAATGTGAGTGAACTGCAATTAGGGGCTAGCCAAAAGTCAACCAACACAGTAGAGAAGAGTCACAAGGAGGAACAGGGGAAGAGAGGAGACAGGTTAAAAGTGGGGGCACGTGCCTTTCTGCTCAGAGGGGAGAATGATACAGCCCACAACTTGGTGGTTCACTGGAGTCTCTAATCCCTAAACCTCATTTCCAGGGCCCTGAGGCTAGCCCATAGGGTGTTCCTGGGATGCTGCAGGATTTCTAACTCCTTATTCCTGGTTGTTTCCTTACAAGAAGACGCCCTCATTGATGACGGTGGAGCACTCTCTTTCCTGCATGGAAGGATCCGAGAAGAAAGGGAAAACAATCCCCAGGCTATGCAAATGGGTTTTCTGCAGGACAACATGGTCTCTTTTTCATCAATTTGAAGTTTTTGCTGGATAAAATCTCAGATCAAAGGCTTTAATAATGCTTCCATTGTGCAAGAGAATGCCTCTTGGTCTTGGGGATGTGAATGCCCTATCAGAAACAATAAGTTGATTCTCAAATAAGTTATTCCTTTCAGTTATTATTCTCATTAGAGACCTGGTTTGGGAAGTTAGAGGAGGAAAATTAACAAGGGCACTTACCACAGTCACATGGCTCCCCATCCTCCAAGGATGCTCAGAGTTTGGGGAGGCTGCTGGAGATAGTAGGGGAGCTGCCAAATGAATTTTGAAAAAGCTCTCTAGACCAGCCTTTTTAAAATTTTAGTGTACATAGGAATCTCCTGGGAATTCTTTTAGGAATGCAGGTTCTGTTCAGTGTGGCTGGAGTGGGGCCTGAGAGTTTGCATTTCTAACAAGCTCCTATGTGAGCTGATGCCCCTGGTCCAGGAAGGATGCTCAGAGGAGGACACAGTGATAAGACCCCTGCTGCCTGAATGGAGAAAAGCCGCTCAGTGTAACACCATGTCATTAGTGCTCATTAAAATACATGCATGAATCATGGCCTCTGAGGGCCTGAGAGTAATTCCATGTCACTTGATAGTGAACGTAAGTGAACCAGCTCTTAATCCCTTTAGTAAAGAAGATGCAGGAAAACTTATCCCTGAATTCCAAACCATTAAGAAACTGATGTCAGTATTTTTCTTTCTTAGCAAATTTGTAGCTTCTGAGCTAGAAGAATGACACGCTGAAGGGCTGGGCAGGAAGGCTGGAGGAGAGTCAGAGATAATTTCAGCTGGCAGACTTATTTCATGAATACACCTTAATGTTTCACAATGAGGAAAGGGGGAACCATCCAAAGCTAAGCACATCATATGGAAACAGGTTCCACTTCAGACCAGGGGTTTAATACTTAAATCCTTCTCCCTCACACTGACGGATCACATCTGTTTTATAAAACCAACCAAGACGGTGTGATATCTGTTAGTGTTGGGCAGACTTACCTGTAGTTTCAAAAGACTCTTAAAAGCCTTGGAAGTTACTATTCTAGGGTGGGCTGGCGGGGTGTGTGTGGAACATTCTACCCCATTGACTACACAAATACTCCTTCTGGGGTATTGTAGCCCATGTACAAGATTGCCACCCTCAAAAGAGGATGAGACTGGATTATGTCTAGGATCGGCTAAGTTTTTAAGTCTACCAGGACCCGTGCAGATGACTGTCTGCCTGCCAGACAACCACCCACCATCCCTAGAGTCCCATCACCTTCTGGGATATAACCTGGAAAGCCATACAAGCCATAGACACTGCCTACGGATTGTTGAGGGCTGCAGTAGGTTCCCTAAAGGTGGTGAGATCATCCTTGAGTCAGACGCTAGCTGACAAGGTGACCAACTGGCATTGCCCTTCAGGCAGTAGACACTCATCTTGGGCACTGTGGAGATTCGAGACATTTGCCTGATCATCATTGTTACTGTCCCTGGACATCTGACAGGGTGACTAACTACTTTTAGTTTGCCTGGGACTTTCCTGGTTCCAACCATGAAAGCCACATGTCCCCAGAAAACCCCCAGTCACTAGCAAAGCAAGATGGTTGGTTACTTCTTAAACTAGGGAGGTCTGGGTAATAAAGAAATCATGTGGGAAGATATGAAAGGAAGAGAAAAGCCCAAGGGAACTGCAGGGGAACTTTCCTGGATCTTAACAGTGACTCAGGAATTGGGATTCATTCACAAAGTTATTGAAGAAAAAAATTGTTGGAGGAAGAATGAGACTGATGAGGAAGGTTTTCTTATAACAGGCTGACTTGCAACCGGGAGTGTTTTATTTTAAGGACCTCATCACCTGCCCTCCAATATCACCAAGATGACAAAGGGAGACATGCTCCTTATGTTGGTGCAGTAGACAGTGCTTGACCATCAACTCTAATCAATACACTTCTGAAGATGAAGCCATTAAGAAAATCGTGTAAGAAGCACCAAGAGATAAAAAGAGTCAACACCTTTATTGAACCTACTTACTCAGGATACAAATCTTAGGATTTACTTTCTGAAACCAAAGGTGCCAAAAGAACCAAATTCCCAACCATAAACTAATCCGAAATTTGATACTTAGAGAAAATTTGATGGAAGTCCACATTCCTCATTGGTTCACAGTCACTAATTTTGAGCCATTAAAATAACCAGGGACTAAAATCCTTAAAATACCAAACCATAATAAAGATACGACAAGCCTGATTTTTTGGACTCTGACTTTGGCATCTATTTTAGCTGAGCAAGATTAATTCATGACCTAGGAACTTTGTGAGCTTATGTTTATTTATAATATTCAATATTCCCATAAGCGCAAATGTTGCAAATGGAAGGTTGCATTTTGATAATGCCCATTTCTTCATTAAGATTTCATCATCCACCTACATTAGAAAGCCTCTCCTTACACTTTGTTGCTTCTGCTTTCACCTTGTTTATTCCTGCCTTATTTGCTTAATCTTGAGATCCTGACTCCCAGGCACTCTCAAATTTGAAACAAGTAAAGTTTGTGCATTAGTGTGTCCTGGGCATGCATAATTTATGAATGGCAGGTTTCTTGGCACAATTTAATGGTATGAGAGAGACTTTGTTTTAAACATTAAAGGGAAAGTCAGGAAGTGGCAACACTAGGTGGGATATTAGGACATATGGTGTGTAAAAAAGTTTCGGTCAAGAGTTAATCAGTTCTTACATGGTCTACTTCTTAATCTATGGGCTGACGCTCTGGCCATAAGTAGCCCTGACATTTGACCACATTTGACAGAAAGTACTTTAAATTGTTCCTCCTAATAACTTAATCAAACTCTAATTAAAAAATAAGAATTCTTTCTAATTGCTAACATTCATATCAATGGGGAAAACAAACACCTTTGAGCAGATCACAACAAATTCATTTTCTCTTTGTTGGCCATCTTAATTGTATCATATTCAGGCCATTTTTCACCATAAAATTATTCCTTTGGCAGAGTCTTTTGTAAATCATTTTATCAAATAGTGTTAGCAAATCTTTCATAGAAAAGTGAAAACCTTTGTAGTACTGAAAGAATTCTTTCCAGCATAAAATGTGTCCAGCTCTTGTTATAGGCCCATGTAATTATAAAGGCTCAATATATGAGTCTGTTTTTCTCATTACACAGAATGATCTCAAATAATACAATTTCTGTTTAATAATTATAACTAAAAATGCCTAATAAGAACACAATAACCAAAATAAGACTTCCAAATGCCATCTTGTATTGGAGATGATCCAACCACTTCCCACACAAACAAAGCATGTATAACCTTTCTTTGCAGATGGCTAAACTGAAAAACTCATGGGATCATAACTCATATCCTTAAATAAAACACAATAATTTTACATCCAGGTTTTTGATGAAAAAAAACTAAGCAATGATTGCTCATGAGTGCCTCCAGAAAACCTGAATGGTCTCAAATCAATGCTAGGAAACAAGAACTGATAAAGTCCATGGCTTGAGTGAGCCTGGGATTCACAGACAACTTGAAACTTTGCTACCTACATGAGCCTTCCATCTCTTTGATAGTGGGAGCTGCTCAATACCACATTCACCAATGGGGGCATCTGAGCACTTCAGAGAACACTGGCCAGGGGATAGAGCCCTTTGTGGCACATGGAGACAATGGGTTGGTTACCTTGTAGATTTTGCAATGGTAGAGTCATAATGCCTCCAGCTGCAGCTGCTGCTACCAGCCCTTGGATGTTGGTGAGATTCGCGGTAGGCAGTGTGAGGACCAGTCCTTGTTGTCCTCCTAGCTGTCCAGCCATGTTGAAGGGGATCAGGATGGGCTGGTTGAGGGCCGGTGTGCCCCCCGGCATCACGCCAGCGACAGCGGAGGCCAACTGTTGTGCTGTCAGAAGTGGCTACAAGGAAACAGATAATCCCAGCTCACTTTCCAGTGGAACCAAGACATGGCCTTTCAGAGCATTTTCTTCTAGGGCCCTAGGTCTTCTAGCAGGGTCAGAAGTTTCCTGAACAAGTAGCAAATAAACATGCTCTATTCCAGAATGAACCAGTAGAAAAAAAATGGAAATCCCATTTCATTTACATCTTTGGAAAATTTCATTTGCTTTGGATTTCTTTTGAGGAGCTCAAATACCTTTAAAAGTAATACCCTTACACTTATGTTATTCTTCCAACGAATTTCCATTTGATCTTAACCTTACATATTTGAAATTCTTTGCTAATTTGTTCTGTGCTGTTCCAGAAAGAACTCATTGGCATCAGAGGATGGGGGGGGGGTGATCCAAGTAGCAGTAAAATAATGTTTTTATTTATTAACTTAGCTAAAATAAAGTAAAAGTTTTACAGCATGCTGGTAGGTCTCTAGTGACATCATTATGTGGATTTAGGATGTATACACAGTCATGAAGTCTTTTGGAAGGCAATTTGGAAATCTATATCAAGAGATGCAGAAATATTCAACCCCTTTTGACTCAGAATATACTCCTCGGATATAGCCTGAAGATATCATTCAAAAAGACAAAAGATAAATGCATGAAAATATGCATTACATGTAAAAATATATAAATGTTGAAAAATATTTTGTTATAGTATTAAACCCAACAAGATATTATGCAGTCTTTAAAGTGGATCATTATTTTGACACTTCTTTAGAAAAATAGGAAATGTTTACAATATGAGAATACATGAAATAGACTGGATAATCATTACGCAACAATAAGAAAATCATTAAAATGGTAAAATTGTGTATGTATATTAAGAGTTCTGAAAAAAACTAGAGAAAATCAAAAATACTTGAGGTGGATAAGTCAGAAAGCCTTTTAATGCTGTCTCTTGCTATTTATTGTTCTTTGCTCAGTTCATGCAACGTTAGAAACACAGGTCTGTGTCGAATGTTTATCCAATAGCCATTGTTTGAGATAGAAAGGCAGCCTCATTGGTGGTGTGCGCTTTGGGCACTAGATAGATATGAGCATGGATGTAGGCTCTTCACCAGGGTGACATAGGAGGGATTCCGGCCCTGGCCGGGCCAAACCAAATGACTGGAAGGGTCATTGGTCTTACAGTTCTCAATCCAGGACTTGCATAGCACCCTTTTGGGAACCATGAGAGACATAATGCCATGTCCATTCTTTCTTCTTTTCAATACAAAACTCTTATTGAAGGGTTTCAGCTTTTTTGTTCTAAGGAAGCATGATTCTAGAAAATAAAAGGTAATTAAATATAGGCACAATACAAAGCCCAGTAAATTCTAGGCAGGCACTATTCTTATATTGCTGTGTGTGTATTAATGCAGTTGGCCTACCAATGAGATACAGAGAGATTAGTAACTTCCCAAAGTCCTGTATCTGGTGGGTGTGGGGGGTTCATGTTAAGGCAGGCTGTTCCAGAGCCCATGGTTCACCCCTTTCTCCCTATGCCCTCTTAATACACGGAACTGATTCAGAGAATAGGGCCTGCTCCATTTGAAGATGAGGGGAAGAGGGCTGAACTCACTCTTTGGCCGTTGCTCACAGTTCCTTTCAGGTAAGCCTCTGAACAAGTCTTGGGACACCCATGCAGCCTGGTTTTAGACCACTCAGAGTACACAGGCTTAGCTCCTAATGTATCTGTTAGACTCTTCTAAATTCACACAACGTAACTGCCTCTCTTTTAGAAAAAATAATCAAGTTACATTAAAGCACAAAAAACTATATTTTTTAGGAGTAAGTACAAAAGTGTAAACTGATCCTCAACTCGCTGATGTTCTATCACTGTAGTGATATCGTGATAAGAGCGGAGGCAGATGGCTGATTCTCAGACCACACAGGTCACAGATCTGGGGGTTTGGGCATGTAGTATTTTTAAAAATTGAATTCTCAGGGTTAGAGCAGGGCATGCACTCTCTAGTTTGTCAGAGTGCCTACCACGTCTCACTGTCTGGGTCTGTCATGCACTTATCTGAGGTGGAGGCATGAGTTTGTCACCCCTGGTATGTTCCCACACATCCACATCCACATGCACACACATGCAGACACACACAATGTCACAAGCATGAAATTAGAGAAGGCATAGCCGGAAGATGCCAGTTTCTGAGATTTCCAGTAGAACACTCTCTGGGCTTCCAAGGCCAAGCAGACCCCTCCCCACACTTTCTGTCCTTGAGGACCACAGCATCCATGCCCTGGGACAGACATTAGGACCTGAGACCACAGGGACACTGGAACAAAAGTGAAGGCCAACTCAAGCTCTAAACTTGAGTCTTGAATTGGTGAGCCCTCAAAGTGCTGAAAGTGATTCATTTGCAGGAAAAGCAATGAAGCAAAAGTGAGAGACAGGTTCACGTATCCACTTCTTTTCCCCAAAAAAGTAAGTGAGCTCCAAAAGCTTCCCACTAAATGCCAGAGGTAAAACAACAGCAAAGAGCCCAACTCTTGTAATTGTGTTCTACATCTCCATATAACCACACCGGGCTGCAAGAAACAAATATTGGACTTTAAAAAATAATGAATGTATTTCTTTATTAATGCAAGAGCTGCATGTGATGTACAGTATTGTCAAACCCAATAAGCTGAACTTGCATTAAAATTGCATTAACTTTTTTATATTAAATCACGTCTTGTATTTCAAAAATGGCTATAGTAAGGTTGAAATAACTTAATTTTCTTCATACTCCAGTCATTAAAGTTTTACTTTCTCGAAAACTGCATGGTAACCAACGGCACAATGGTAGTGGGTAAAAAAAAAAAAAAAAAAAATGTTTCCAAATGATTAAAACCAACATTTCCTTTAAAAAAAAGAGGAGTTCTGCAAACATTTTTTTCCTTGATGATATTTAATAAATAATGCAGTCATACAGTTTCCCCTGCAAAAATTTATCACCATATTTGCTCTGTTGGAGTTGATTGGATTTAGCTCATCATTATTTATTTGGTTATTTATTTGGTTAAAGCAGCTTAAATGCAGCCGAATGGAAAGCAGTTGAGAGATACTGACCTGAGGCCCAACCGAGAAAGGGGGGTGGGTCTGACTGGCCTGGTGTTGGTCAGGAGTGCCTGGGTCTGATAAAGCCGGGTTTCCTCTGGCCCCTGGAATTCAAAAGAGAAGTGCTCCCTTTAATATAAGATCCAGCCCAGGGAACTGCCCATGACCCCATTTTCCTGTGATGTCACATAACATTAAGGTACAGATGACACGCCGGAGCGCTTTATCAATAGCTCCAGCGCTCAAATCACTTGTCAACTGCATAAATTATGCTAACGGATATTCAGGATGGCCAGTCATTCTGGGACACGGAGGAGGCTGTGACGGGACAAATGACACCATCATCAGTCGCCCTAATAGGCTTGCATGATCCATCAGTTTGTGCGGTATATGCCAACGCGCTGCGCGGGTGGGAAGTCGCATCCTTTATGCACAGGCGGGCAACAGCTAATCTAATTTCCCAAAGCCTGAGAACGCATGATCTCAGACATGACCGAGTACATCTATATTACCCCTTCCTAGGGCTGCATACCCTTAAGCCTCTTCTCCATACGCAGGGCCGACACCAAATCTTAGGAATGTGTTTTCCTAAAGACAGCCTTTTTCCATGTCACTGTACGTGATATCCTGGAAAGCATATGGATCTCCCAAAGCAAGTTTCTCTGGCGCTCCCTGAAACAGTGGGAATCCCCCACTCACACCAGGGAGCCCCACTGTGCTATGCGAGGAGCACAGCTTACTTCCTGGGCTGGAATCCCGTCGGATGCCAAAGCACAAGAAGCGAAATCCCACCCAAACAGCAAGTCTTGCAAATCTTCTGAAACGGTGTAGTTTCTGTGTGTGTGCTTGCGTGCTTTGTTCCAGGACAGACTGGGGCAGGGAGCGTAGAGGCGGGAACCATAAACAGAGGAAGAGGTAAACATAAAAAATAAATAAATAGAGCCAGCTGCAGTTTTTGAGGGGTTTGACTCTGTAGCTTTTGTTTTCTTGGTGGTTGCAATCCAATTCCAAGCCATCTTTAACGAGATCCTCTTTCCTGATGAATAGCAAGTGGAAGACAATTCAAACCCTGTTTACTGGCATGCCATGGACGACCAAGAAAAAAAAGATATGCTTCTGTCACGCTTATAAATTTTAAAGAAGGTATTATTGGCTCATTTAAAACACATTCTTCTATATATTCTCCAAAGGGACAGACTTATAAATAATGGAAATGTGGAAAAAAATATTTCAGCACATTAAACTACAAATAAAATTGACTGCTACATATTATTCAATTGACTTCTATCTCCACTGCGATGTGTCAATCATAACAGCATTTTATAATAGGATTAAACAATAAATGTGCAAAGCCATTATGCAGAAATCTGAAAATCTGATTAATTTGTAATATTTTTTTGTGCAGAAAGTCAAGAATGGACATTGCTTGGGGAATACTTACAAGCATTCTATTGAAATTTCTAAATTGATTTGGAACAAACTAATAAAAACACAGACTTGCTGACATTTTATAAAGTGAATTCTGTCAAAATATGTTTGGCATTTTAATGATTGCTGTCATTTAATAACAAGGGTAAGATGACCCATCAAAAGATGCCAACAATTTCCTCATAATGTGCACGAGACCTTCCTTCTAAATTTTTTATATGCGATTTACTCATTATGCTTGAGTAGCAGAGCACTTTAAACCATGCTACTAGGCAGGGTGAATCTCGTATTTTCTGTTCTTGTATCACCAAGTCCAATTTTGCCTTAAAATTCTCAGCAAGGCTTTGTGCGCTTTCACAGAGCAAAAACAGGTCTCAAAGTGATACTTTTGGTCGTTTAGGTATATTCACAAATAGCTAAGAATCCACTTTGGTTTAGTTTGTGAACACACTTTAAAATTTGGGGGTGGTTGCCCCATACTCATTGGGCATGGATTTTTACACCAGACTGTGAAGAGAGCCTTACAATACACAGGGAATGAGAAAACTCCTTCTATACAATTAAAACATAAATACATCTCAATTTCAAAAATTACTATGCTGTGCCAGGCCCTCCCACTTTGAATTTTTTTTTTTCATGTGAACCAGGCCCCCTTTTTTGACCTGGTTCTTAACACTATACCATTGTAAGGTTTAGGCCTTGTCCCACGCAGGTACTGTGTCGACAGGATCGTGTTGTTTGTTGCCTGTAATTTACACAGATCACATTTGTTTACAATTTATTCTTTGTTGCTGGAGGCCCTCAGCAGCACATGGCAGCTTGTTTTGAGGCTGGTTATTCTCAAAAACCATGTTCGGTGCAGTACGGGGCAATTCCACACAATTTCACGTGTAAAATGAAGTCTTTCACAGGCTTTAGAGGAGATTATGTATGCTCTCCTGCCTGGATCAAAAAGTAATGTTTCTTCTTAATGCGCATCTCCATTTTCCCCAAACACATGTATCATGCTTAACCTTGTAGGACCATAAACTAATCTGTCTGGTCGGAAGGCAGCTCCCAAATCAGGGGCCTTCTCAGAGCCAGAGGCGGAAAGCCAGCAGTCAGAATGAATAAATGACGTCGGCTAAGGGTTTCCAAGAGATTTGGAGCAGCACGTAGCTGTGTGTTGGCAGAGACTTGGAGGTCACCTATTTCCATGGCCACGTGAAAGCATAAACATAAACAGGCTGGGCGGCTTCCTCCTGACCAGGATCCTAGGAAACACGGTACCTCTCCGTAGATCAGGGCTGTCCAGAAAGCTCTCTGGGGCCTGTTCTGAGTGTCATAATCTGTACTTCTCAGGCAGCGCCCCGGAGCCTCCATGGAGCCGGGAGAGTGTCTGTTCCGCGCGTGCAGTCCCTGCGCGCTGGCAGGTCATTCACACTGACCGAATCTTCACTCACTGGAAATAGGGGTTTGGCTTTTCATTTGGGGTTGGAGGAATTCCCATAAGATGGGCATTGGCCTCCACTTGACTACTTACTATGGTTTCATACAAACCTTGGGAAACACCTTTAAATTATTAGCTTATTGGCAAATTCTACCTCGATTCCAAATTAGGCACTAAAGGCAGTTTGTTGTCCAGGTTAAAAGCAAGGGCTCTTTTACATTGCGAACCCTGCCTGGGTCTCAGTTTCCGCCACTTAACTAGGTGTGTGAACTTGGACTTGCTTTCCAACTCCTTTATGCATCAGGTTAGTCTCTTAAAAGTTCAAGATGATAACAGTGCCTCCCTCCATAGGGTTGCTGTTGTACGGATTCCATGAGCACATATATTTATAAATTTCACAGGCCGGAGCCTGATTGCGCTAATTCTGTTGATTGCTATTACTTAATAAGATTCCACGTATTTTTAACATATTTAATATTATCTGATTTGCCATGACACTCACCTGCCCCAAGTCCACTCAATGCATACTCCTGTCCCTCTCTCTGAGTGCGGTCCATGTTCCCTCCCATGCCACCCTAACTGCGTATTCTGTGTCATTTGACTAATGTATGGAACTGATCTGTAAGAGCCTACAAATCTATAGGTTTGCATGTATAATGCTTCTTTTAGTCCATGGTACTGTGATCAGGAAATACAACAAAATGATATTGGCAAACAGCTTCAAAATTCTCATCCACCAGGGCTTAGACCAGTAGTTCCTACTCAGATCTGAGAATCAGAGCCTTTCGTGGAGCTTCTGGAACACAGAGGTTCATGTCGCTCAGGAGGCTACTGACGGGACAGCTCAGGAGTGGCAGTGGCTCACGAATGTTCTATAAAACCCACTGGGGATTGAGGATGATGGAGGGGCAGCGGTGGGGTAGCCGGTACCCACACAACTTTGGATCTCCTTTGCACTGGGGAACCACACATGATTCATTCTGTGAATGGCAGACGAGGTACCAGCTGGCACTGTCCCCTTGCCTTCCAAGTGTCTTCACCTGCAGCGTCCTTCCCTCTTAGGCTGGTTGACTTCTAGCTTGGTGACGCGAAGGACCATCTCAGATGCATCAAATGTGTAATTAGGATTTGTTCACAGGTCACTCAAGGAGTGTGAAAACGGATTTTAAAGGGATTATAATATAAAATTTTAAATAGCTATATAATAGGAGTCAATTCTCTGTAGATACAGGGACCTCCTAGTGTAAGCCTGAGAAAGAAAGGACAGGTCATAAAAGGTGAGACCCTGAAAGATTGAGCAGGAGTTATGCTCAGACGCAATTTCTTTTTAATTGCTGAAATGCCGGCTTGTCAGAGCTCTGGTTCATTCCACACCATCTTTCCTGTGACGATCTCACATCTGAAACCTGCAAAGCTGCCTGCAGACCCCTCTGCTCCAGAAGGATCAGACTATCTGCAGAACAGAGAGGGCGGGGCCCGCAGACCCTGTTCTCACCCTTCGGTGCCTCCCTCAAGGGATAGCCTTGAAAGTTCCACCCTCCCACCTGCTCAAGGTGGGAGCTCCTGAACAACCACCGCTGTGTTCCTTATATCAGGTTCACTTTCTCTTGCAAATTCTTCTTCTCATTCTCATTCTTCTTCTTCTTCTCTTCCTCCTCCATCCCTCCTCTCCCGCCCTTCCTCCTCCTCCTCTTCTTCGTTCAATGTGTTTTCATTAACTAAGGCAACTCAAAGCTTGACACCACCCAGTTCCTCTACAAGTAAAAAGGGTATGCAACCTAGTAGTGTACTAAATGCTCCCAGCCCCACCCGCCCATCCCCCAGCCCTTTTGGGACTTTTCTAAATAAGACATTTTAAGAAACAAATAGAACATATTTAATCTTGAGAGAGTATACTCCTTTCTGGAGCCTTATCCCATTCCCTTTGCAGAAGAGGATATGAGGCCAGAATAAACTGAGAAGGAACCAGAATCGCAAATATGAATTGTTCATTCAGAATAAACCAACTCTACTTTCTCCCACGTGCTGAGCATCCCTCCCACGTTCAGAGCATAAGGTTCCCTTGTTAGTGACCAATGCATTTTTAACAAACGGGTCTCTTTAGAGATAGAATTTGGGTTTCTGTCCTCTATGCTTTGGCACAGACATAATCACGTGAAGGTCACAGGGATCTCTCAGCTTCTTCTGGTATTTGGAACTTTCTTACCCACTACTGGCAGTTTTCACCAGCCTGTGAGGTGATGCAAA